TTGGTCATGTATACAGTAGGCTATACATATACCGAAATATAAGAAAAGCGGTACTCTGTTAGCATTGTGCGATTTTTGAAAGTAAATTAGCGCGGGTCACATATTGGATTGTTTTTTGTACGCGTGATGCGAATTTAGTTTACGGTAACAAAGCTAGATTATGTGCAGTGCTCAAATGCTAGAATATTTTAAAATTTGGAGGATTTTATGTGTATTTTTCTCTCACTTGGTCAGTGTTTTCTCTCACTTGGTCAGTGTTTTTCTCTCACTTGGTCAGCCTCTGTCAATTAATTTATTAAGAGTCGGCTGCGTGTGTGTATCTGCGCGTTATGATCTAAAATCTGAGCATGCCTCGATCGTACGCCCGGGAGGTCTCAACTCTCAAGGTGACTGTGCTCAATATCTGCATTATTTAAGTCTTTCTTAGAAATTTATTCCGTTGTCCGCTTTCTATACGATACATTCCTTTATTTTCTGTACAACTGATTCAGTTAAATTTCATTCTCGACTTTTTTGATGTCTTATCGATATATATATATATATATATATTTTATATGATTTTACGAATTTTTCTACGAATCTTGCTTATACATGATTTGTTGACAGTATATTTTAGATTAATGAAAGATTTTAACTTTGCTTTGCATGATGACATATGATTGTATATAACTTTGCGCGACCTTCCATCCGTGACATAACGAGCCCAACAAGCTCGCTGACCACGATGAGACGGAAGAAGAAAAATTTCTTAGGAATATCTTTTCATTGATGTAGTCCTTTAAAAATGTTTCAGAAAATTTCTCAAGCGTAGGTCAACCACATAACGTGTTGCAAAGAGCAGATTGAAGGCTATATTTATCTCGCACTTGAAGTTCTTTGTCACGTGGATAGTCTATGCTTGTTTGTCATATGCCCCGGTATGGAGAGAAGCATGCACGGCCGATTACAGTCTAGTCAGCATTAAATTATGCAGTGCAGGCTAGCGATGGCAACTCCGTGTTATTCGCGTCATGGCAGTCAAATAAAACCCTGCGTTAGTTGTTAGTCCATTTATTGCTACTGTCATCAAGTGTGTGAATGCATGACGGATTTCACAACGTAAGATATACGATTAAATTAACTAATTAACATATTTAGTAAAATCTCACGAATATTCATCGCGTTATTTATATCAAGATTGGTATCTGCCAATTACATGGCAGGGTAAGCTGTTCACAAAATCATAAATATTAGTGAAATTGTGATTGCCACTATAACATCACAAATAAATTATATTTTATTAAATGAAGACGTCTCCTTGTAGAATTTGAAGAAATTTCAAAATTATGCAATCACGCTCTTGACATTATATTGGTACGATTCTTATTGTTATGTAGATAAATTGTACAGATCACGTGCTTATCTTCAAGTAAGTCGGATGAGGTCTCTTCAGATCCAGCTCCGACCTGACTACTGTGTAACCTGTACTATTTCAGGCATCTATACACGCAGTACATTCACGCATCTCTACACGCAGTACATTCACGCATCTCTACACGCAGCACATTCACGCATCTCTACACGCAGTACATTCACGCATCTCTATACACACAGTACATTCATCAATCTCTACTTCACTTTTAATCCATCGTGTATTGCTTCAGTACAATAGGTGGATCACTGCACTTGGAGTCTACCACGGCACTGTTTTAGACAAAATATAAATATATTAGACATTGCGCAATGCGCATTATGCAGTGTGCTATACTATTAAACTACGGTGCAATCCACATTGAGTATAAACTGTATGTTGAGTATACCACTGCACGTTGAGTATACCACTGCACGTTGAGTATACCACTGCACGTTGTGTATACCACTGCACGTTGAGTATACCACTGCACGTTTAGTATACCACTGCACGCTGAGTATACCACTGCACGCTGAATGTAGCATTGCACACCGAGCACAACACGGCTTGTGGAGACAGCGGTATCTGGTCTCTTGGGTGCAGTTGTCAACATTCATTTTTGTTCATTTGTTGCTTGGTTCGTTTGTGTATGAGGCGCTCACGCTGACGAATATACTCTATTCAAGTTATACGAATAAGAAAAGGTTCCAAGTTATGCGAGCAAATACGCTCGTCACTGTATACGAGTGCATTCATTGTTCACGCTAATAAATGAATAGGCATTTACGAGTAAATACGCTCGTTGCGCTTGAGAAAGAAAAAAAAAACGCACGTCACGCTGTGCGAATAGCGTGCCTCATATCAACATCTTCATATTTTTTTAAAGATCAGACTGTGGAGATTGCTAGCCCTTTTCTACGACTATATTATTTGACATCATCATCATTTATAGTTGCAACAAACCATTCATAGTTTGTTTTAAATTCGTTATGATTGCATGGTTTGCAGATTGCATGTGTTAATTTGTACAAGATTAAATTTTCGGTTCATTCTATTAACAGTGTTACGCCGTACACATGTGTTAATTGTGATCATCACCATTGAGACAAGTGTCAAGTCCTTGAAAAGTTTCATTCTACAGTTATTATTCGAAGATGAATGATGAGAGTTTAAAATATTTACATTTTTCTCCGATGTCTGAGATATTCGCCATGTGAGTTATTTAACTTCGTTCTCTGTGAATGAGACTTAAAGAGGTGACGAGATTGCCATTCCTGTGCTCTCTGTACTTGATTCTCTGAGGGCAGCGTCACTTGTTGACTCTAATCTCGATGCTATCAACTTCTGATAAGACAATTGCGGGCAATGTGGCTGTGACATGATCAAGCCATGCAGGCTCACTTGATCGCCGGGCTCTGAGGCGCAACACAGTGCAGGGCTCCGTAATTTTTACCAGACTTTTCTGGTAAACGAACAAGCAATATCTATTACACTTGTGCAATGCCCTTAATTGTTTCAATTGCAAGTTGGTTTGAACCCGCTTCTTGTTAGGAAGCTTAACCGCCCAGTTATTTGTTTTCGAATAGTGATTTGTGATCAATGACGATATAAGTGCGTATTGTGCATTATTACATAGTTGGTTTATGAAGAGTCTAGCGCTGATTGGCAATGGTGAAGTGTTTTATTATTTTGAAGGCTTCGAGTTATCTTAATTGTGTTCGACCTCTGCGCCTGTGCATGGTATAAAAGTGCGCGTGCTTGTCGCGTACGGCAAAAAGTGAAGAAAACGTGAAGTTAATCTAGTAGCGTAATCGAAAGGTTCTTATTTTAAATAAATGTGCAGAGGAAATCATTTAATAAATTTTATTACTTTTTGATCCATGGAAGTACTCTTATTCCATGTTCCTTTTTAATGGTACACCTGATTGCTGAGTGAACTAATCAATTATGAATTGAAAGTTTAAATTTATGAAACTCGACTGATTTTTCTCGTCATTTGGATCCATTAGTCATAACGTTGTTTTGATAATAATTCGAAAATTTTCTGAATGTTATATAATGGTTTCTTATATTGGCCTATTGATCATGGCATCTACTATACCTACTCGCTCATCACACGATTCATATGGAGGTGAACAGCGTGTCCTTCTCGCTCTATTGAACTGGTGGCAAGTGCTAAGACTTGAATGACGGCTTCAACACTGTGCATGATTTTTATGAAACTACTCGAAACCTTGATTTTTTGATTTTCCAATGAAAATGCTATGAAAATTCTAATAAATATACTTTGAAATATGGAAAATTATTATCGCCTCTACCTTATGTGAAATGTGTTATTGAAACGAAGTTTTCTGTTTTTGATTTGGCTTACGTGCGTTGATGCGTAAAATAAAGTACGTTACAATATCAAACGTTTAACATTAAAATAGCATAAGCGGGGACCAGACTTACTGTTTTGACTGATTTACTGGGTCAAACTGGGCGCAGCTTGTCGTCTTCAACTTAGGTTAACTATTCAATGACCCCAGATTACAGATTACACGAAACTAATCATTTATGTTATTGTAAACAATAGTGCAACGCTACCGGATTTTGGCAGACAAGAAAGAGAGCTGCTAAGCTTGAATTGGAAAACTTTTTAAACATTAATTATTGACCTGATATTGAAGTTTTACTGATAAGTTAGCTCAGATACGCTTATGTATTCTGTTGCTGGGTGCTGGCTTGAGTTGCTACGCAGTGATTTGGTTGGATGACGATTGCGTTATCTGGAATAGTGACGAAAGGATTTATGAATATTCGGTCATGTGTGAACAGTGAAGACCCTACAATATTTTTCAACGCTGGTGTGACGTTATTAATTACCAAGACTCAATAGAATAGAATAGAATTGGAATCGTTAAGCAAAATGAAAATGTGAACAGTTGGTTGCGAGTACAAACCCACAACAAGCTGTGGATGTTCTGCAATGTTAAGAATCGGCGACAGGCCTACTGCCTAAAAAACGCTGGAACCGCTATATTATTATTAATATCAGTCTCCTCTGAAACGATTTCTGGCTTGCTTCGCCACAGAAAACGGTACTAACATTGGCTGGCTCATTTTCGCAGAACTGCGAAATTGAGACATTCAACTTAACAGTAATTATGATATGCTAATATTTTTATGGTGCATGCGGATAATATGGCTTTAATCAGAAAGTATGCCTACTGCAGTGAATTTTTTTACACATTCGTTAAACATTAAACTCCAAGAATGACATGATTTACAGTTGACATAGTGGTATTTCAATGACTGAGACACTTGTCAATGTTTTTAAGATATTACAGATCTGTTCATTAAATTGTTACCTTGAATGATCCTCTCTCTAACTCATATTAGCGTCTAATTAGTTCGTTGTAAAATGCACGCATAGATACAATAGCTATGGTAATAGTTACAAAGTATTAAGTAATAGTCTATGTGTATTACGGCAGGGTAAAAACTATGGGCCGCGCGCCCGAGCTCTAAGTGTGCTGTGCTGTGTACAGAAGTGCCTGCCTTCCAAATTGAGCGATATTAAATTCTGTGCTTTGGAAATGCATTTATGCTTGTTATTGTTAATTTTCTTATATTTTCAGCATTATAATTGAATATTGGAAAAGAATGAGAGAAAGGATAAATATATCATCAAAGATGGAGTTTACAAATTCGAAGAAGGGAAATGATCAAGTTAATGTTCCTTTGATGCGAGTGGTGGAAGCTACTCCTCCCGCCAGTCCACTTCCTGCGAGAACTATTCGTTCGGTCAGTGATTGTCACGTGCCTCAAAATTTCACAAATTTATTCATTCCATTGGACCCTGCCGAAAGTTCCGATGACTGCGATGATTGTGAAGACACTTGTAATGATAATGGTGAGCCATATCCCAAAAAATGTGGTAGATCTTTTTCAGTTGTGCCTGTGGACAACCTTAGAAGTAGCCCCAATTCAAACCTGGAGAATGTGAAAAGAAGAATTTGGTCCTTTTCTGAATCGCGCTTAGACGGAGATTCTAGCGAAAGTGATCGTCTACTGACGGAAGATGACGCCACTCCTTTTTTGAAGAGGACGAATTCACCTTCAGCGGGTAATTTGATAGAGTTCAAAGCAAATGAGACTATAAAAGAAAAACATGTATCAGAAGGATCCATTCCCCGCAGTCCAAAACCTTCTCAAAGAAATGAAGTCCCCAAATCACAAGCACCCACGAATAACAATTCGGTACCAAATCGGATACGGAAGCAAGCTATTCTACCACCCCCAGCCCAGGACACCTTATCCATGAAAAGAACAGATTCAGCTCGAAGGCGTCAGTTATCTAACATAAAATGTTCGAGCGAACGCAGCCCTTCCGATAGGAGCTACTCATATACCATTAATGCGGGAAACATGCCTGCTTTTTGGCCAGTTAATGATTCCAGAGCTGCTACTCAATTTCCTCGCATTGTGCTAAGCCAACAGAAATCTCTCCCTACCCATTACTTTACCGTGATGCCCAGAGCCGGTATTCCCGTACCGCATTCCAAAGCCTCGCAGTACCTGACACTTCAGCCGGAGCGACCCCGAGGCTTGATCGGCAAATCAACGTTGGACTCTTTCGGCACAAACTTCATTTCTACCGCAGAAAATGGATCGAGCTGCATTGAGTACGGCTCTACTGATGGGCGGAACATAAAGTTTACGGGCCGCTTGGTCTTATCATCTGAAGACATGAGAGGGTGAGTACCTAATCTTATCTTAAATGCTTCTCCGTGTCTACCTGGTAAACTTGTAAGGGCAGACATGCCTTCGTTCTTGCATGCATAATTTAAAGAGATTAATAATAGTACTGAATAACCCGTAAAGTAATGTAGATTAAATAATTGCATCATTCTGCTGTAGAAATAAGTTATTGGAACGAAAATGCAAGTTTACCGATAAATATGGAATTTTACATGTCTCCATGGTGCACGAGTTTCTGTTATGTCCTGATGACAGAGGTTGAAAATCTCCGTAAACTGCCTTCACGTATAAATAAAAATATAAATAAATATCATTTTATTTTAGAGGCAAAATTACAGTAGATCTCGGGAACTTTAAATATTGGTTCAGAAAATCAACCTGGTACAAATATTGGTTTGAACGCTGTGTTAAACCGGTAAAAGATGGAAAAGATGCGATGAAATTTGTATTTACCTTTTTTGTTATAGCTTGCTTGAATTTTAATAAAAGTTAAGGCATATGAAGCCGGTTGCGCTCAAGAGGGACAATACGGCATTATTGTCAAGCTGTTAAGTGGATGATAAGTGGCTTGCTTCTGATATCTGGACGAATCTGGTTTGGAAAAACATCAACCGGGCAGAAACATTTTTTACCTTTAAATATGATTTTTGAATCTTCATTGAACAGTTGCTGAAAAAATATCTATAATTTTTATCTATTATTTGCGTCTTACGCATATGGGAGTACGTAGTTCAAAATCGACTATTTACAAGATTCGTCGGTTTTGGTTTGGACGGGCGGGTGTGGAAATATATATAATGATCTGGAGAGAACGAGAGCAGACGAGCGTGCAGGCTGCAGGCTTCCCTCTCGAAAGCATAACAAAACTTTGCACTTCTTACGATTAACCAATCGTTGTTATGTTCTGGTTTTATAATAATTTTTAATGATTTTTCTTCACTAATTCTTGCCTAGAAATTATTACTGCGCCTACACGAGAAAAAATTTCGTAACTGTCCGTGCGACGGGAATTACACGAGTTTATCTCATGACCCAAGACCCTTTCAATGCAGTTGTAAATAACAATCACTTGAATTAATGGAATCATCCTAATCAGTTGTCCAGATCTTATGATTTATTCTTATCGCGTAATTGGATCTAGTGCGATATGTGACCTTGAACTTACTCGAGTTTTAATAAATAACTGGAGAGAAGCAGTATAAGGTTTTGTGTGACCTTTCACGAGTAGGGTTGTTATCACGGCGTAGTTTTTTTTTATAGTTTTTGCGGTAGAAATAAGAGTCGATGTTATGAATTCATATATTACAAAGGAATGAATCAAAAAAAGTTCTCAAGAGTTGAAAAATAATTTTGACTTGATCAAAACCTTGAGAAGGGTTCAAAGGGTCTTTCTGCAGCGACTAGCCGTTAGTTTCTTTGTTAATATTTTTTTAACCTGCCATTTTAATTGTTCATTACTGTTCGTTCTGTTTACTATAATTATAATAAAAAAGAACTAATCACCTTAAAACTCTATTATTATGCCATATTTTGAAGTTTTGCTCAGAGGAGTTGGGTTGAGGCTGACGTACAAACGGTGCATCCTTTTTAGCGCATTTTCTCATTTATGGAAAAATGCACTATTGTGCTCGCCATGTCCGTCTGTCTGTCCGTCTGTCCGTCCGTCTTTCCGTGACCCCAAGTTTTCGTCGACGAGAAAATGCGCTCTCTGTCACTCACTGCAGTGAGTACTGAGTTATATTTTTTTGATTTAATGCAATATCGCGCCTCGTCCCTTGCGTAACTGGCAAGACCTTATCTGAGTATAATAAAGGACGAATGCTATTTACCTTCGTCTAAAAGGCGATTGCTCTCCCGTTCACGCGTTATTGCTGACAAGTCGTGAAATAAAGTCTACATTAACATTTTTTCTTTTCTCGATTTATTGTAGCTATGGTTGCTTCGCGAGACATGCTTTTATATACTTACCGATCACTTATAAAGAGGACATCCTTCTTTAAACGAACCGTTGCCACGACTTCGTTTAGTCGGATTGGTCTATTTAAAACACATTATTTTGGGTATATAGGCTCCTTCAATTGATGGGAAACTCTTCTCATGTAATAATAGAATAAATTTTACAACGATACAAGAAAGATAGTTTACTAGTGCTATGTCAATAATAGCAATTAGAAAGTAATCTCAATTGTTATTTAGATGTATTATTGAGGCGTTATCGAATTAACTTGTGATATACTCAATTAATTGACTCTGAAGATTCTGCAATAAAAGTCAATTATTTGACAGAAGTAATAATCTGATGGTGCCAAAGCAGAGACTGCATGGGTATTCACAAGATCTATTTTAACTTGATATTGTGGAAAAATATGACAATTACTCATAGGTCGAAGCGAATGGATTGAAAGAAACGGGTTACAAACAACAGATACAGTTGCATATTTTTAGCGCCTTTTCTCATTTATGGAAAAAGGCACTATTGTGCTCGCCATGTCCGTCTGTCTGTTTGTCCGTCCGTCCGTCCGTGACCTCAAGTTTTCGTCGCCGAGAAAATGCGCTCTCTGTCACTCACTGCAGTGAGTACTGAGTTATATTTTTTGTAGTTATCTCTAATTTAAATCATTCGTTCCTGCATGGTGATCTTTAACTTTTCAAGTTCTCACTGAGCCATCATATCAGTGCACATTGGGTAATGAATTTTCGGTCACACGAAATGAGACGTAAATCTATTTAATATTCTTTTTGATTTCATTGTCCCAATATCAATTTCTCTAATCATTTAATACTTGTAGTTTTCTATTGCCGGCACAATTGAATCATGAACAACATTGTTACACTGCATATTTTTTTTATGGTCACTCATTCGGATCCTCTGTTCATGGTTAGAGTCACAACAATTTCTTTTAATTTCTTGAAAAAATGCTTTCTTAAACTAGATTAGGAAACGGCTCTTGTACATTGCCTACTGTTGTTGTTGTAAATTGTTTTGTTGTACAGCACTGTTCTTATAAACTGTACTGTTGTTGGTAGAGTACTGTTGTTGTTGTTGTTGAAAATGGACTGTTGTACAGTTCCCAACAGTACAGTTACAACTGTACATATAAGCTATTACAACGTCCATATGAGCACGGCTTGGCCGAATGGATGAGATCATCTGATTAGATAAGCGAATTGGGCGTTCGAAATCCGCAACGAGCTGTAAAAATTCCGGTCGAAATCCGCAAGGTGGTTACGTGGTTAGAATCAGAAGCACGCTAAAATGATTTAATCAAAGCGGACACCACATACATTGTGTTAATATTACAGAATGAGATGCGACCGCCATGTTTAAATCGCTGGGGAGTCCTGTAATATTGGGCGCCTCATATTAGGTTGAAATGATATATATCAGTGTGCGTTGGCTTCATTAAAAAAACGGTTAGTACAGGCATTTATTAATTATCATGAATTTCATCTTGATAAAACTCTTGGTCTCGTTGCAAAGTTATAAGTTATGATTTATATGATGATAATTAAGATAATTATCAACTTATGACATAATTTCGATCCGTACTGCGAAAAAAATTTTAAAATGCGAGTGTAAGCCTTCAAATTGAGGTAGAGCTAATTAAGTTCGTGAATTTAACGCTTTTTCATTTAACGTGAGCAAATCACTAGGAATAGTTATCTGGTCAATGAGCTTATCTCGATAGAGGGATTTTCCCACACCGTTATCTTGATCCTGCAATTTATTTACTAATAGAAAAGGTATCCTCATTAGATAAGATAAGGTCTTGAATATCAGTTTAGCGCTGAAAATTAGTAACTCCGAGATCAGCAGCCATCCAAGATAAACAACCGATACATGAAGTTATAGTCTACGCAAAAGCTGAATAACCCAAAGCGCACGTGAGAATCTTAAGCATGCACCAATAATATTCAGCTGAAGAACAGCCGCCACAGATGCCATGGACACTCACTGCGCCGGGGCGCTCGATCATCTTCACGGGGCAGCCGAACCAAGAGCCAAACCTTGGTCAAGAATGATGCATCATCCTTTGATCTTCGTGATAGGCTCGATGGAGTACTCTGATATTTCCCTGGTTAGAATAAAATCTTTATTTTGTATTATTCCTCTCACTATGTGTGGCTGTCATTCTTAAATATAAACACGGATAATCTTTCAAAGTCCAGAATAGACGGTCCGGATAACCACGCTACTTCAAGTAACATATAAATTTGCTCACAGTAATATGCATGAACAGGTTTGTAATGCAGGTCTTCATCATGTCTGACACGCAGGCCTGTCACAGACATGATGAAGGCGTGTCAGGGACGGTATGCAGGCGTGTCAGGGACGGTATGCAGGCGTGTCAGGGACGGTATGCAGGCGTGTCAGGGACGATATGCAGGCTGTCTCTTATACACATCTAGATGTGTATAAGAGACAGGTATAAGGTTTTGTGTGACCTTTCACGAGTNCTGTCAGACATGATAAAGGCGCGTCAGGGACGGTATGCAGGCCTGTCAGACATGATAAAGGCGCGTCAGAGACGGTATGCAGGTCTGTCAGACATGATAAAGGCGCGTCAGGGACGGTATGCAGGCCTGTCAGACATGATAGAGGCGCGTCAGGGACGGTATGCAGGCGTGTGAGAGACTTGATACCGACGCATCAGGGTCGGTATGCAGGAAAAAAGCACGTGCCTTCACACATTAATTGATTCAGGATATAATATTGCTTGTCCCTGGTCAGATAATAACAGACCGAAACAATGGAGGGCATGTATTGTTAGGCGGGTTGGCTGCCCGGGTGGCTTCTATTTTGTTCAGTTGGTGTGAGCCCTCCGCCGGATGTGCACCATATTATTCTGGTCTGATTAGTAGCACGTATCATATTATTATGAATTGTGACTGATTAGAGGCAGTTACAGAGGAAAGACTTTTTTGACAAAATTAAGGACAAATTTAAGACAAAGAATTCTTTTTTGGACTAAATTAAGAGGAAGGACTTTTTTGC